AAATGGAACCATCTTGCACACACGACATATTTTGGGGTAGTAGGCATTATTTTGTTATTGTTAGATGCTATTGTTCGACCTGCTCCAATGTGGCAACATTATTCAATGTCTTTTGTTACCTAGTAGCTGTGTCCTTGCCGCAAAAAGGTCCTTGGAATGACTGCTCTACTGTCATCGCCATCGCTATCGCCATCCGCCAACAAAAGCAGGTGACTCCGGCATGCGATATGCGATGCTGTTTTTTGTGGCTCCATTTACTTGCTTTCTAATATGAAATAAACAAAGCTGCGGAGCCGCAGCCAGAGCTGAACCAAAGGCAGTGCCAGAGCCAGCAGCAGCAGCACATTATCCTGATCCTGTGCAGAGAGGTGTGAAATTCAATTTCGCCAATTCCAAGCAGCCATTGTGCCCGGCCCTATTTCGCTTTCACTTTCGCCATTGGCCCTAGCCCGACTGTCCGTTTTCATTATTATGGCCATTTGGCGTGACTGTGACGGTAACGGCAACGGTGATGCTGATGCTGATGGTGACTTGCCCTGAACCTGGACCTGGAGTAACTGACAGATTGCTGGCAAGCGTTTGAACCTCAGGCACAAATTAAATTCCAGTCTCGTGCTGCAGCAAAGAGCAGCAAATAAAAGAAGCCAAATCAAATAATTGAATTGTGTGTGTATGTGTGTGTGTGTGTTTGTGTATGGATAGTTGGATAGTGGCTTAAAAATTCATTAGAGCCGCATACATTGATGCCACGTCCAGGGCAAAGTTCAGTCTGCCTCTCTCACTCAAGTCCCGACCCAACGAACTCAATCCCAATCGAGATGCCAATCTTCCATGCAAATGTCCAAATCCAGGCAGGCTCCTTTAGGGCTATAAATTTCAAATAAAACCAGTCGATAACATAAATTATAAAATTAGTTTGCAAATGCGTCTAGTCGTCGGGAACTGGCACTGGACCTGTCCCGTCGCTTGTCGATTCGTCGTCGCCTGGACAGCAAATAAATCCCGAACTAAATTTGAAAATGGCCGAAAATTTGGTACATTCTAGTGTCTCCCTTTGACCCTTGGGGCAAGTGTAAGCCAATGGCAAATTGAGCTGCTTCTGCTTTGGCATTCAATAAATTCAATTTACGCCAAGTTGAGTAAATTATTGAATCGAATTTTCATGACAGAGCTTTGGAGCTAAGTTTTTCCATTTCCAATTCTATTTCCATTACATTCATATTGCTCCCGTTCTCGTTATGACCTTCAAATATCTTAATATACATTACTTTTCTTTCTATATATAAGTAGATTCTTTAGTTGTTATTGTTATTTCTGTATTTCCGAGGTATACTATAATTTATTTGTCACGATGATTTATTTTTCTGATATTTTCTGCTATTTTCCCTTGAACTTTTGCTGTCTGCATTTTTAATTAAAATAGCGACAATAAATGATGTCTCGTTCCAAGCATTTTTATCAGGGATTATTCAGCACGCAACGGGCCGTGTAGCATGCAATGATATAGCACTTGATAACTCTCGGGAAAGTGAACACACAAACGACCACAGGACTAGGGTCTACTGCTCAGCCAACGTGGCGTATGCTTTATGTCATGGCCTTGATTTGATTAATTAACAGTATGCCACATGGCTGGAGTTGTTCAGGCGGAATGCTGCTTGTCTAATAGATATCATTCACTGTGAAACACTTTGAATCACTCACTCATTCGTTGAACCACCCACGCACTTGAGGCCTGTGAATGCGGACAGCTGATGGTCTGCGGTCATCGAGTGGACAGGCGGCGTATACGTAATGAGTGTTTGAATAATAAAAAGGGGCTAGGCAGGAGGAAAGGTCAGAGTTCATGGCTTAATGCTGTAAGTGATATTTAAAGGGATGTAGGCGAAACCAGAGAGCATTCATTAAGTCGCCCAGCAATCAACGGCAACTGGCGTTGGATTAATGTGTTGGCCAATTTTAAATTTGAGCGCGACACTAAGGGCAACGGATGCTGATTCTCAGTGGAGGCTGATGCTGCGAAATGCAGCAGTCGAGGCGTGGCCAAGAAGCCAGCTGGAAAACCGAAAATGGAAATGAATTAAATTAAAATATGAATTGCACAAGGCACTCGTATCGCGCGATAAAACACAAGAAATGCAAGTGGAGGAAAGTCTGCCAGTATAGGCAGTGGTCCTCTGTGCCATTACCATTGTCGTTGTGTTGTTAATGACATGAAAAGCCAACGAGCCAACAAGCAGCGAATAAAGGATAAAGTTGCTCTTTCTTCGACGCCTGCAACTGACGCGGAAAGCCATGCAGCAATTAAGCAGCAAGCTGCCATTGGGATGGCTGCTTGTATCGGGATGGAGTGCGAAGGGGAAATTTGATCGCAGTAAGAAGTCAAAAGCAAGCAGCACGAGTCTGTTTGCTGTGAGGGTGGGAAATTGCCAGCTGCTGACTGACTCCTAGGGTCGCTTATAGTGTGACTTCTTGCACAAAAGAAACTGGAGAATTCTTTTTCGGACACTTTGAGTGCTGGCAGCAAATGCTGTTAATTGGTAAGTGATTGGATGACCATTATAATGGCCGAAGATTAAATAGTTAAAGTGTTCAAATTGCCAGAAAAGCTGTCCAATTTAATCGGCCTTCAAGTTGGAATAACTAACCAGGTGAAAAGTTCTCTCATAGTTGCACCATCCTCATCCAACACATTTCCTCTCACACTTTATGCCCTGCAGTTGCAGGGGAGAACTTTTCTTATCTGTCAGGAAATGGTATAGCCAATTGCCAGAAGCTATTCCTGATGATTCCCACCCATCAGTGTTCCCGGGTCTGTGGCTGTCATTAATGAGTGGAAACGCAGTGGGTGACTGGCTGCAGATTCAGTTGGAAAAGCCATCATGTTGGCGAATGCAGAGAATGGCAGGACGGCATATTACTGAAATTTCTCATTAGGTGTTGGGGGCACCTATTTTTGTAGCTCACTCCCCCAGTTGCCAGTGGCATGCCATTGCCAGATGCACCATCTCCTGGACAACTACACCCTTCAATCTCTGGATTTCGTTGCATTTGTTAGTCAACAAGCTCTTGGCATCAGAAGCATTCATTATGGCTCTGTTTTCCTTGGTTCCGCTCGGTTCTGTTCTGTTCTGTTCGGTTCAGTTTGGTTTAATTTGGTTTGGCTTCTCTGCACATTGGTCCAACCCCAGCCTGCCCTTTATGATGTTTCCCTCAAGGACAGCAAAAGCAGGCAATGTCTGCCGGCAATACGCCCACAAAAATGATGCCTTCTGCTTTCCGGATTCTGTGCTTCTTTTTGTTTGCCCTGCACACAAAGTGTCATAAATTAATACGAGGTTTTTGGATGGTTCTCCGGATCCATGTGGGTGTATTTGTATCCCTTGTGCTGATTGTTTGTACAAAAATAGTAAACATTATTTAATGCTCGAGCTGAAAATAAATTAAAAAATATTTGCAGCTTCCATTTGGAATTGAATTTAAGTTTTTGGTTGCTAGATATTCGCTCAGAGAGAACACAATGTATTTGGTATGCCGTACTCAACTGAATGAAATTGAATATAAGTTCGCTAAAAACTGCAGCAGAGAGTAAACGACTTGAGTAGAGCTCAAGGATGCAATGATGCTCGAATTGATTCCGCCACACAGCCAAAAGCTGCGGCCAAAAATCCTTGAAACCATTTTATTGCCATTGCCTTTGTCTTGGGGAATACCTCAACTGCCACTTGAGTAGTCGCTGGCCATGCTAATGGAGCAGTGCACCACTGAAACAGCCCCCCATGATTCAGACTTCGTCTTAATCAAGCGCCTGGCAATTCACTTTTGCCCTCGGTTGTGGCATGCCTCGTGACTTAATCCGTTTGTCATGTTCAGGGTTGAATTTATTTGGATATTTATGGCAGAATCCTTTTTCACTTGCTGCCGCGACGCGTAATTGCATGAAATCCTTTGCTGACACAAAACGTACATTTCGCTTTCAATTTTTACATCACGAATTTGTTTGTTAAGCCTCGCCCTAAGCTTGGGAACTGTACAACGCTTTCCGTTGGGGCAGTCGAGTCGAACCCACAGCCGATAGCCGACCACTTTTTCTGTTTGACACAACGATATGTAAAATGCGTGGCTTATCCGGATTACCGAACGCTGAGCGCACAAACATTAGCAGAACTCAGTGGTTGTTCATTTTTTTCTACATTTATTTTGTTGGGATAACAGAAATAGCATTTTGAGTTTTAACTGGTGGAAAGGTTAAGTCGCGAGTGGGCAGTTGAAGTTTGTTGAGAAATGGAATTTTAATTTATTTAAAAAAATGCATCCTTTACAAGGACAAACAAATTTTTGTTTTGGTCTAGATTTCCCCTATATTATTTCTTCTTAGATATGTATAAATAACAGCAACATTAATGAAAGTTTTTCCATAGCAATGTAATATTCCCCAAGTGTATGACGACAGAACATTAAATCCCTCAATTCACAAAATGGAAGCTCTCCCGGAGAGACAAATATTTATGGCCTTGTTGAACTCTGAAATAATTCTCTCAGCCAAGGCCCTACTTTTAGCCATTACTCTTTTTGTTCTGCTCCAGTTTTAGAGACTTTTGGAGAGACTTCGCCAAGAAGCGGCACTTGAGAAATTAGTCTCATTTATACAAATTATTTGTTCCATGGAATAAAACGAAATTTATACCTTTTTTGTTTGTTTTATTGAAGTTTATTACTAAAAATTAAATGAAAATTTTATTGGAAATACATGTACCATATATAATACAATTATTATTAGTGTTGTAATTGCAATTGGAATAACCAGTATTTCTAGTAGCGTAGGGTGGGTCTTGCAACGGAAAATCATTAATTTCGAGGTGAATGTTAAATGATACATATAATTGCATAAAATGTGGTCCAAGCGGACAGAATATTTGACACATTAATTGGCAAAATGTCAGAGACGATTTTCCTTTGGTAATACAATTAAATGGAAAATCCGGTTTACCGATTTCATTAAGCATTAAATTTGTAATTTTTATGCAAATTAATAAACAGAACGGCGAGCTTTAAATACACAAGCTGCTTTGGTTTTGAGGAACTAACATTTAACATTCTTTTATGTGTGTATTTGTTCTGTTTTTATTCACACTTTTTGTTTGCTTTTAATATAGTGGAAAGCCCTTAGATCTAGTCTCTATGTATGTTGTATATATCATATGCATTGTTTAAATATATTTTTATAAGTATTTATCATTTAAAATGTTCATATTATATTAATTGTAAATAATTAAAAATGGAATCGCATAAGTGCTCTATAAGAAAATCGCTTAGAACTTTCATGGTAATACACTTTGGGTTCACTAAACTCTCGCTTGATAATTCTAAATAATTCTAGTAATTGGTTTTTGCTTTACCTACGGTTTTCCGCATTGTGTTACACTTCATCAAACTGCTACAAATATCTTCTCTTCTTTGGCTATCAATGGATTTTTGTTAGTATTCCTTTACTATTAATATATAATTTAGAATTTCATGAACAGTGGAGTGAAGGTTTGCTTGCTTTTCGTTATGATAATTCATATCACCTTAAAGTTACATATATTTGCATGAGTGCTAGATATTTTCAAATTTTAGGCGCCTCTCATCTTCGGGCAAAAGGAACAACATATAATAGAGTATCCAGCAAATATTACTTGTACAAAGTGCAAAGTCACAGACCCCAAAATAAACGCACTGTGACTTTGACATTTGCGTAATATTTGTGGATATTTATAGAAATTATAATGCAAACACTTAACCATGATTTATTTCTACTTTCGCTTTTTGTTCTTTGTTCTTAGGTGTAATATATTTATTAATGTTTATGAAATGTGAAATCGTAATGCATTCAACGACGCTAAAAATTTTATATTTGTATATATATATATTTAACGTCTCAATGTTATTACATTTCTTTATGTACTTTTGACAGCTGGCATTTTTCTTACAGACAATACTGGTTTTCTTTCTCTCAACATTTTTTGTTTTTCATCTCTTGTAATATCTAATTCATTTTTGGCATTCGATTTTATAGTTATGTAATACGATTTAGTTAGTGTTGCTTACGTTGCATTTTCTTCTATTTAATATTTTAACAATTAGTATTTTTTTTTGGTTTCAAGAGTTTTGTCATTATTCTTTTTATTCAGATATTATAGTAGTGCATTTTGGGAAGACAGTCAGAAATACAAAGCCACAAAATATTAACAGTAAATATATATTGCAACATATTCATATATATGCATAATTAGTTTTGTAATCATATGAGTTTCTAAGTCACATCAAAACAGGTTCGAATGGTTTAATTTTCATCGAAATGTTATTTTTTTGTTGTTTTATTTAGTTCTTTAGGTCCCGTTCACAGAATTTATTTTTCGTGTTTGTTTTTGAAACTCAATATAAATGCTAAACATTTGAATTTTTATACATTTTTTGTAATTAAAAATAGGTTCATAAATGAAAAAGTAACAAATGAGAGTGTGAATCATCTGAACGATTGTTCAACCTAACGCCTCAAGTTCCAGAGATCGACGGCTGTGGGCCAGATCGACAGGAAAGGCAGGGTCAACAAGATGACAGAGTAGGCCAAATGGGTGCCAGAATTACAACCATCCTCGGTGCAGCAATATGTTTGGGTCTCCCAAATTTCTAACCATCAAAGAAACGGAATAATAATAATACAAAATTAGCTGAGGATTTGGTCAGCAAAAATGGTTGACCACATTTAATTTGAATGTGACTTTCAGATGAACATTTCACAATATATAGTTCAATTAAGAGAATTAAATTGATCACTATAGTTGACTCGCCACTCACCTTTCTCCACACACTCGGTGGCACAATCGCGAACGGTCGACAGCTCACTAACGTATTTCTGAAAAGGAAGTCAATGAAAAATATGTAAATTTTACACAAAACTGCCATTTGAAATCATATTCATGAAAGGTTAATTAAATACCAACAAAGTCCAGTTGTGGATAGAAGTGTCCGTTGGACAACATGGCGTATGAATGGCATTTATCCGTGTTTGAGTGTGTGTGTTTATTTGTCGATTTATAATGGAAAATCGGATATGTAGACACATACTCGCATTCAAGTGAATAAATATCAAATTTAGTATTGATTTTTATCAATTAAATATGAATATTTTATTAACTGCCCTCAACCGCAAATTAGTGTCAGGCAATGTTATGGTTTTTACATAAAGATAACTCTTCAAATGTAATTAATGATAGTACGGGAAGTTTTCTTTGTCATGTTTTGAACGATTATACAAATGAGGTAGTCCTATAATACCTTGAATCAAGACATTTCGATCGATTGTTATATTTTTTATATTAAAAAACAGGTTGTGGCATAATATTTGCATAAAATCCATACATCTCTAAAGCTTAAAATGCTGTAACTACATAAATTAACTCATACAAAACAGACACACAGTTAAACATTTCTCATTACTTTGTGATTTTTTAATTAAATTTACACTTAATTTGTTGACATAAATTGTATTTTGTCATAAATTGAACACAATTATCAGCATATTAACTAATTAGTCATTGAGAACAAGCATTTTAAATCGTCCGGACTAACGTTTATAGGCTCAATGGCTTGAGAGCTTGAGGCTTGAGAACTATAACAAAGATGGAACCATAAACTTAAAATATGCCGGCCTTAAGATAAATATAGCCCATAAAAACCACAGACATTTGTAGGTTTGAGTATGACCATAAACATTTTTATGAGAATAATTTCGGATGGGGAATAGGATTAATATAAAACTTGGAAAACAAAACAACTTTGTGGGTCGTACGATACGATGTGGGTCGTACGATACGATGTGTGTTCTGTACCCGTAATTATATGTAGGCTATAAGTAAAGTATCTTAAGTACTTTGCTGACCCAAGCCGATTTCAATCAATCCTTAAAACAATCCTCAAACAAAACCCCCCTAAAGAAGTTGCCCCACTTTGATTTTGGCAAAGCGAGAGCATGGGTAATTCCGTATGTCTGTTCTAAAAGAATTATTTATTTCACTCAGGGATACCCACATATGGGGCGTACATCTATCCACCCATTCCGGCACACAATCAAAGTGTCATCAAGGATTTGTGTATTGTATTCTAAACCAACTTTTGATGCTATTTTAACGACAAATTCGTGAGCTCAACTAGAGAGCACCCCTGGAGTCCTGCTCCAAAGAAACACACATAAAACACATCATACAACGACCCCGTCATGTACTTGCAGCCCGACCCAACCAGTGTTCCCAAACCAAAGTAAACCCACACCACATGAGCTGCACAAGCTGGTTTTTAGCATATATATATACCCGACATTAAAGTTTATGGCAACATAAGAAAGGGACACTAAACACACAGATGACATGAAGATAGTCGGCGGGCTGACAGAGAGACATAAAGTGCGCTAGCACACACTCCTTCGTGTGCACCATTATAAATCTTTTGTTGAACTCACGAGTTAATTGAAAAATGGGGCTCCCGTAAGTAGGCAACGCCAACGCCTTACGGTCCATTAAGCAAATAATAAACCTGTTCAATAATTACCCAAGGTGTGTGCACTGAGTGTTATTCTCCAGCCACAGCTCGACAACAATGCACCTGCACCTGCAACCAGGAACTTTCAACCAGCAATACATCTACCCACACACATACATATGTATGTACGCCCCGGGATAGGCACTACAAAACACGTGTTCACAACAGGAAGCAGGAGGCAGGCAACCAAGCAGTCTGCCGAGGCAGCTTATGGGGCACTCTAAACCGCTTAATCGATTCGAGAGTCGAGTGGTGACCTGGGCCACGGCAGGGGCTAGACAATGTGCAACAATCCGAGTTTCTGAGCTAAGCCATTCCGCAGCACTTAACGACTTTGCGTGCTCATCGTCCGTTTGTTACTGCAACAATTTCATGACATTTGCAGCTGGGCACAGGATCAGGACCTGGGGTCCAGGAAAACCACAAGATTGCAGTAACCACCGCTAGAACATTGGCAGCTCATTGTTTATGTAACAGGTCCTGCGATAGCACCAAACCCATGCAACCGATCCGTTAGCTCTTGCCAAATGTTGTCTTATTAAATTGGAACGACACTGAGAATATTCCAGTGATACATGTTGGATCCAAACATGCCCCACTCTGCGGATTCGTTGGCATTGTTTAAGCTAATGTGTGCCCCTTATGCTCGGCGCTGAGTAACCCCACAGATGTCCCAAGGGGCGGAGAAAGGGTAAGCTCATTATGTTATGTGATGCCACAAAATGCGTCTGCTTGTGTGGTAGGAGGGCTAAGTAATGCGGCTGATGAAGATAATGTGGGGATAATCACATGAGACAAACATTCGGGTGGCATAGAGCGAACTAAGTGTTAAAGGGAGTGGTTGCCAATGTCTCCTTGGGGGTTGCAAACCCCAAAGTATTTCTGAGTTACTCATCTGATTTACCACTGAAATTCCAGTAAACTTCAGCAAACCGGTGTCCCAACGCAACCCCTCTTCTATCTTTCGCTTCCCAAATTTTACTTTCTACAAGCGGAATCCTTCTTCACTTGCAGGCCCGCCAACGATTTATGCATTTGGCCTAGTTTAAAAAAGAAATGCGAAAAAGAAATGCCTGCCGTGTGGGCGTGGCTATGGTCTGTCGAGCACGTCCAGCAGAATGCAGCTACGTAATATGCAGCACGGTAAAATGCAGCCCGGCATGTTATTTGGTTGTTAGGGCCAAAAGTTAGACCCAAAAGAAAACACGAAACGAAAGCGTTGAACAGAGCAATAATCTTGAGACACCCAAGGAGCCCTGCCACAGTGTTTCACTGCCAGTGTTGTTCTTGCCTCTGTTTCTGTTGCCCTGCCCCTTTGTGCTACTTTTACTTAAGCTAGTTATATCATCACTGTTCAGTTCTGATTTGAACACAGCCCTCACCCCGGCAGACAGCGACTGATGACGACGTTGATGATTTCAATTTTGCATGCAAGTGACGGCTAGCTGAAAAAAAAACCAAAAGATGTAAGAGAAAACTAGTAATGACAGGGAAAGTACTGCCATTGCAAAAAGAGAACATGAAAGGAAAGACTGTGTGGTCGAAGCTTTATATACCCTAAAAGAGCAATCTTTCCTATGGTAACTTATGATTTTGTCATCTTGCTAAAGGAGAGATATGGCAAGATCAAGAAACGGACACAAATACAAATACATCTTCCTCATATAATAAATCCTTCTTCCAGGGTAACCAAAGTAAGGATTGAATCGTGGGAGTAAGTGTGGCAGAGCACTGGTGGCAAATGAACGAGCCACAACGTCATCAAAGCCATCAGTGGCAATGGCAACTTTTGAATTGTGTGCGGCTGGTGGGGGAGTGCCTGGTGGCACCGACACAGGCAGGTTGCAGGCAGCATTCCCATCATCATGACAACGTTCTTAAGCCATTTATGAAATTTTCAAGAGTCTGTGGAGCAGCAGTAGGGGCGTGTCAGTGCTAGCGTAATCTTAAAGGGAAGAAGATGATTTCCTTCAAATACTTAGACATGCTGCAAATCATATGTGAGCTCCTTGCCTGTGTGTGTGTGTGTGTGTGTCTGCTCGTCCTGAATGCTTTTGCGGACTAATGCCTGGTTTTCCTTTGCCTGCGCCGGAATGATGCACAATTTTTCACAATTTCAAAGTAATAACTCAATTTGTCTCCAGGATGAAAAAGGATGCAAATTCTTGGCCGTTTTATAAATATTTATCAAAATTTTTAAAGAATGTCTTTAACCAAAAATGTGTAAAATATTTTGCAATCCAAACAAATCTACACATTTTATTCAGAGCTATGGTAGCCTCTGCCATGTCTGGAATTATTCATAATCATAGCCTTTGCCATTCCACCACTCCCTCACCACACCATTCCCTTCCAAGTGCTGACCATTTAGATGTCCTCGTTAAAATTTATTTACCAAGCTCAATAAATCCTTGCAGAAATGTTCCCCTGCCATCTGCCATCAGCGAAGCTGGTCACGAACTCAATTGTGGAATCCACTCAAATATTTTTAGAGGCGCCACAGTTGTGACATTAATTACGAAATCGTGACCTATCAACTGACAGGCGGCATCTGCAATGGAGAAATTCAATACGGCACTCCAAACACATTAATTATGCATGTCTAAGGAAAACAATTTCATTAAGGAACACTTTAATTCAATTTCAAAATGAAATAATGCAAAAAAGTGTGAAAATTGCAATGCGTTCAGTCATGTGTATGCGAAGGAAAGCAAATGAGGCGCACTCAAATCGAAATGAAATTGAAGCGTTTGCAAAATGATCAGGAAAACAGGCTCAAGGAAAAATGCAAAGAGAAGCAGAAACTGAAAGGATAAACTTTCGAACAAGAAGAATGAACTCGTGAAAAACTTTTTCAAGCTACATAAAACGATTTTGTCTCATTCTCGTACTCGTATGATTGTGCTGAGCATTGCCTTCAATTATTTTGCCAAAATTGTGCCCAGGTGTTGTGACAGGCGTAAAGCCATCTCTTCCCTTTCTTCCACTTGGGCCTTGAGCTCTCGCTTCAGTTGCTCTATTCAATGGGCACAGAAAATATCTAGTATACTGTTGCCACTCCTGCCGCTCCATTATCAAAATGCAATTTCATCAATGCTAACTTTGAGACCTCAAAAAATCCGACCAAAAAAAAAAGATGTAGAAAAATGTCTGAAATTTGATTTTCTCCTCTAAGAGCGAACGATGCACTCTCTCATTCAGCAGGACCCCGTAAATTCCCATTCCTCAAAAATCCATCAGAATCCCTAGCCCAATCCCAGCCATCAGACAGGCCAGTCATGAGGCAGGCAGCCATCCAAGAGGCAAGCAACGGCAGCC